AGAAAGGCGAGGGTCTCTCACGCGTGCGAAGTTTCTCGTGAAGCCTGAGGGCATAAGAAATTTGTAGCAGAGCCCAGTGTTGATGCCGGGAGAGGTGGAGGGCACAGGAGGGAGATAGAGCCCTGCTCAAAGGTCACCACGAGTTGAAGCGGGACAATGAGAGGACGGCATGGTCCACGGGCGTCAGGCTCGGTATCGCTTCTCGGCCTTTTGGCTAAGATCAAGTGTAGTATCTGTTCTTATCAGTTTAATATCTGATACGTCCTCTATCCGAGGACAATATATTAAACGGATTTTTGGAACTAGGAGCTGGAATAGGAGCTTGCTCCGTCCACTCCACGCATCGACCTGGTATTGCAGTATATCCAGGAACGGTGCACCCCCTCGGGGGAGTTTGCTCTGGTTCTAAAGAAAGCTGCTTCCTTTGCTCTTTTCTCCTATCCTACTGTCTCTTTTGTTGTCTTAGCTTTTGTGGCTTGAAGACCGTGTGCTGCTCTCTGGCTGTCGTCTTACATAGCGGGTTAGAACCGAATATTCGTTTGGTGTTTCTCTCCCAACTGCCAGAATTGAAGATATACATTACTAAGTTCTTGGCCTTTCTACTACTTCACTTTTCTCCTCTCACTTTCCTTGTGTTATGGACGTCTGTAAGTAGACCAGGCTGTCGGAGATCTGCCTGTTTTTGCAGGAAATATAGCAATGGAGTTAAATATACACTTACTATATATATACTAAATAAAAATAATTTATATTTATATTATTATCGTTTTGCTTTTGGAGACAGGGTTTCTCTGTGTAGCCCTGACTGTCTTGGAACTCAGTTTGTAGACCAGATCTGCATGCTTCTGCCTCCTGAGTACTGGGACTAATGTTTAACTTTGAACCGGTGGGGGATGGTTTTTACACCTTTGATCGCAGCATTTCGGAGGCAGAGGTAGATTGGTGTGTGAGTTCAAGGGCAACCCGGTCTAGAGAGGAAAAAGTCTTGTGCACTGGTGAAGCCAGGAAAGTTAAACACATAGTTACCTCTTCCATGAATTTAAGTGTGCTGCTGGTCTTCCTGGAATGCTAGGAATGAAGTAGTTTTACAGCCTGGTGATACCTTGTTCTATGATGAGACAGGTTCTGCTATAACTCAGAATTTGTATTTTTTACTAATCTCTTTTCCTAAATCTTGAGCACTGTTTTTTAGACCATAAACCCCACACTTTTTATGTTTAATTTATTTTTTAATGTAGTGTTCTGCTAAGAAGAGAGCACCAGATTTCACTATAAATGGTTGTGAGCCACCCTGTGGGTTTTGGGATTTGAACCCAGGTCCTCTAGAAGAGCAGTCAGTGCTCTTAACCTCTGGGCCATCTCTCCAGACCCTATGAGCCCCACTCCTTGTACTTTACAACAGCCTAAGTGACTTCCATGTTATCTTTGGGCCGTGCCAATCCTGACGTCTACAGACATTATGCTTACCTTAATCAAGCTCCCTAAACCCTAAATCTTGGGCACTATCTCTGAGTCAACAGTACCCATTCTTGAGAAAGAAGCCGGATGTACTTTGTAAGGAATCTCAATGTGAACATATCTTAAATTGTTGTGTACTTGAGACTGAGTTAATTTGTTTTTGTATTTTTGGTTTTGTTTGTTTTTTCGAGACAGGGTTTTTCTGTGTTAACAGTCCTGGCTGTCCTGGAACTCACTCTGTAGACCAGGCTGGCCTCGAATTCACTGAGCTCCACCTTCCTCTGCCTCTGCCTCCCTAGGGCTGTGATTAAAGGTGTCTGTCACCACTGTCTGGCAGAGAATGAGTTAATTGTTATCTGAATACTTTTTTCAGAAATTGTGCTGCGCTTAAATATGGCTAAAGTAAAATGATCTGATCCAGACTCTAGAAGTCCTGGTCCAATACCAGTTACAATAAAAGCGGGGTGAGCCGAGTTTCCTTGTCTCTTCATGGATTGTTTTGTTTTTTTTTTCCGCTGCCTGCTGTGAAGCCTGCAAGATAATCACCACACTCTACAGATTGGAGCCCCAGGACAGCCAGGACTACACAGAGAAACCCTCTTTTGAAAAATAAAACCAAGCCAAAACCAATAAAAATAAAACCCCTAAACTATGGGTGCTAAAGAGATGGATCAGTGGTTAAGAGTACTTACTACTCTTCCAGAAGACCCAAGTTCAAGTCCCAGCATGCACAGGACAGCTCACAAACACCTGTAATTCCAGTTCTAGATGATCACTGCCTTTGACTTGAGGGCACCTATAGTTTCTTCACACATATACAACTGAACAAACAAAAAAACTAAGCATGGGGCTGGAGAGATGGCTCAGCAGTTAAAAGCACTGGCTGTTCTTCCAGAGGTCCTGAGTTCAATTCCCACCAATCACATGATGGCTCACAACCATCTGTAATGACATCTGGTGCCCTCTTCTGGCCTGCAGGCATACGTGCAGGCAGACCACTATACATAATAAATAAATAATCTTTAAAAACTAAAACTAAACTAACAACAGTGGGACAGAGCAGTGCACATTTGTAATCCCAGCACTTAGAAGGTACTATCAGGAGGATTAAGAGTTCAAGGTCAGCCTCTGCTATATCAAAAGTTGGAGGTGGTCATGAGACCCTGTAGCAAAAGGAAAAAGCACTGTTGTTTAAGTGGTTCTACCCTGACATCACGGGAGGTTTCCTGAGGGCCAACAGGCGTTAATAAAGGATGAGAAGAGGTGGAGAGAATGTGGAGGAGGAGAGAGATCAGTAGCAGGGTTGGGAGAGGCAGTGCACACAGGGAGGCAGGAGGGGTCTGGGTGAGAGATGACCAGGTAGGACCGTTTTGACAGTCACTCTGAGAACCTTTCCTCCCACATAACACTGACTTAGAGATTTGGAAACCATTTCCCTGAATTCCGGTGTCCAGACTCCCTCTTCTGTCTCCTCCATCTTACGATTCTCAACTTGAGATGTCAGTTCCTTCAGGGGAGGGGACGAAGATAAAAAGGGAAGTGAGAGAAGGGGAAGGGCAAAAAGAACTGGCTTCCTGCTGTGCCCTGTGAGGAAGAGAGGTGGAAGGGCCTTTCGCATCCTTCTCGCCATTGTCCATAGAAACGTTGCTGCCACTTCATTTTGAGACGGGCTCTCACCCTGTAGCTCAGGCTGGCCTAGACTTTGTAGCATTCTTGCCTTAGCTCCTCAGATTCTGGGGTTATACACATGAACAATCATGCCCCACTTTTTAGAGTCAGTTTATACAAAGATAAACACGATGTGAAGGTAATGTCCCAGCTGGGGTTGGTGGCACAAACTTGTAATTCAACTCCTTGAGAGGCTGAGGCGGCAGGAGGGTCTTAAGTTCAAGATCAGTAAGTTAGTGAGAACTTATCTTAAAGTTCTTAAAAAATGATAAAAAACAAAAACAAAACAAAACAACAACAACAACAACAAAACCAAGCTGGGTCAGGGGCTGGAGAGGGCTCAGAGATTAAGCGCACTGGTTGCTCTTCCAGAGGTCCTGCGTTCAATTCCCATCAACAACATGGTGCCTTGCAACCATCTCTAGTGGGATCTGGTTCCCTCTTCTGGTGTGCAGACATACATTCAAGCAGAACACTGTACATAATAAATTAATAAATATTTTTTATTTTTTATTTTTAAACATTTATTTAACTTTATTTTATGTGCACTGGCATCAGATCTCCTGGAACTGGAGTTACAGACAGGTGTGAGCTGCCATATGGGTGCTGGGAATTGAACCCGGGTCCTCTGGAAGAGCAGCCAATGCTCTCAACCACTGGGCCATCTCTCCAGCCCCATAAATAAATAAATCTTTTTTTTAAAAAATATTTATTTATTTATTATGTATACAATACTCTGTGTGTATGTCTGCAGGCCAGAAGAGGGCACCAGACCTCATTACAGATGGTTGTGAGCCACCATGTGGTTGCCGGGAATTGAACTCAGCACCTCTGGAAGAGCAGGCAATGCTCTTAACCACTGAGCCATCTCTCCAGCCCCTAAATAAATAAATCTTAAAAGAAAAAAAAAGTCAGGCAGTGGTGGTAGCACAGAACAAAGGCAGGCAGATCTAGCTGGAGGTCATCCTGGTCTATAGAACAAATTCCAGGATAGCCATCTACACAGAGAAACCGGTATCAAACAAACCAAAATAAATAATAACTAAAAATTTTCAAACGGTAAAAAGAGGACTAGGGAAATAATAAGTGTAGCTTGGCTAGCACACAGAGCACCAGCACGCACCATGTTTCTTAGAAGTCAGTGATGCGTCTCGTTTCTGTCTATTTTATCCTATTGTTTTGAAGTAGCCAGCGATGCAGATGACTCCCCTGGGTGCTGAGAGTAGGAGAAAGATCCAGCCAGACAAAGCGACCCTCCTGTCCCACATCAGAGCTGGGACAATTCTTCCACCTTTTCATGGCTGGGCGCCCACTCTCAAGGCAGGCGCTTTCCAAGCGTACCAGCATCCTTTACAGTGCTGGGCTCCGAGACACCGAGTGGCACAGCCAGGGGTAAAGCTTGCATCTCCCACTAAAACTCAAGCTGATCTTACGGCATAGAATCGACAGGTATCCCAGATCCGGGGGCTGCCTCCCACCCCCAGTCCTCCACAGTGTAGCTCAGCTGGGTTTTGTGTTTTCTTTCATGCTGACTCAATGCAAACGATTCCTGGAAGAACAGTGAGAGACAGGAGGTGGAAGAGTTCTAGAAAGGTAATTCCAAACAACTCGTGAGGAGGGAGGGGCCAGCGGAGGGTCAGGAAACCCCTTGGCAAGGGTTGGAGGGAGACACTGGAAGAGAAAAACGAGCAAGTTGTATTGCCAGATCGTCTCCAGGGTCCACTGAAAGCCCGGACTGCGGGACGGCATCTTTTTCCTCCTCAGGACTCTGGAGGACTGACAGGTGCTCCTCATGAGCCTTTTACCTCAACCTCCAACACTTCAGGGAGGCTGCCCAGTTGCCCTGGCAGTGGCCACATTGTGAGGTGGTCCGGCTAACAGGCAGTGTGGCTAGGGTGGGAGGCAACAGAGGAGTCTGAGGGCAGTGGCATCCTCTTGGGCGGCTCTTCCCGTCCTCACACCCTGCCGAGCTTTTTCTATCATCACAGCATCATGGGTAGTGCCTACCACTGGGAGGCTCGGCGTCGGCAGATGGCTTTGGAACGGAGGAAGGCGCTGATAGCGCAACAGCAGCAAGAGCAGGTGCATGAGAGGGGCGCGGTCCATCAGGGCCCTCCACGGGGCACCAGGGAATGGGGAAGGAGTACAGAATCCCAAGGAAGGGGACTGCAAGCTTGGGGATGCTGTTTGCTGGGGTAGGAGGCAAGCTAGCTCATTTTCTGTTGTAGGCTGGTGGAGGTGGGGATGAAGCCCAAAGGTTATTGAAGAGATGAGGTCTCACTCTGTTGCACGGGTTGACTATGAACTTCTGGGCACAAAAGGTCCATCCACCTCAGCTTCCTAGTGGCTGATTGAGAGTAGTGCGAGTCCATGGCCTGAAAGGCTGTACTACTGAATCCTTGCAATGTGGTTAGTAAGAATGAGCTGAGGTTTGTATGAGTTTAATTTGTGAATTTACACGTTAGGAATTTACACGTTAGGAACTTTTCCAAGCATCTTTGGCAGAGCTTGTGTGAATCTTTTTCCACTGTACATTTTTTTGTTTGTTTGTTTTACTTATTTTTTGGCGGGGGAGGCAGAATCTCACTATGTAGCCCTGTGTAGACCAGGCCTAAGCTGATCATTACAACCTTCCTGCCTCCATCTCCCAAGTATTACATGGATTACAGGCATGTGACTGCATGTCTGGCAGACCAAATACTTGACTTTCTTATATGTATTTCTTTCTTTTTTTTTTTTTGCGTTTCACTCAAAAAAACTCAAAAGTTGGCCTGGAGTGTACTATGTAGACCAGTAGACCAGAAAATCCACCTGCCTTTGCCTGAGTGCAGGGATTAAAGGTGAATCCCACCACACACACACACACACACACACACACATATATATATATGCACACACACACACACACATATATGTGCGCTCTTTGCTTGCATATATGTCATCTATGTCTGTGTACCATGTGTGTAGCTGGTGCCACTGGAGGCCAGGAAAGGGTGTTGGATCCCAAAACTGGAGTTACAGACAGTTGTGAACTGCCACGTGGTGGCTGGGAATTGAACCTGGGTCCTATGGAAGAGCAGCCAGTGCTCTTAACCACTGAGCCATCTCTTGAGTCTCCCAGATTTATTTACGTGTGTGTGTGTCTGTGTGTGTGTGTGTGTGTGTATCTTCACGTTGTGTATTGGTGCTCTTAGGGTCCAAACGGAGTCAAATCCCTTGAATTAGTTATAGGTGGTTTTGAACTGCCCGATGTGGGTGCTGGAAACTTAATGTGGGTGCTTTGAAAGGAGGACCGTGAATGCTCTTCAGTGCTGAGCCAGCTCCAGGCCCTGAGTGCAAGCGCTTTTGCTTTTGTTTTTCGAGACAGGGTTTTTCTCCGGGAACTTGCTCTGTAGACCAGGCTGCCCTCCAACTCAAAGATTCACCTGCCTCTGCCTCTGCCTCTGCCTCCTGAGTGCTGGGAATAAAGGTGTGCACGACCACTGCCCGATACTCAAATGCTTTTAATAAAAATCTAGTGTCCATGTGGCTGGAGAGATGACTCTGTGGTTAAGAGTGCCTAAGAGTGCTCTTCCGGAAGAACCAAGTTCCTTTTCCTGCAGCACCCTTGTAGGGGCAGCGCACAGCTGCCTGCACATCCAGCTCCGCAGGCAGCTGCACTCACTTACACGTACCCTCCCCTCACATATACACCACTGAAAACAATAAAGTCAGGGCTGGAGAGACGGCGGCGCAGTGGAGAAAACACTAGCTGCTCTTTCAGAGGACCCAGGTTTTCAGCAACCACAGGGTGGCTCAAAACCACAAGAAACCCCAGTTCCAGATTTGATAGCCTCTTCTGGGCTCACGTGCATACATACAAAGGGTTTTTTTGCACACGCTGGGGAAGTGTGCCGCGCTACTGAGCTGCAACTTCAGGCCTGACTTTCTGTTTTCTGGTAACCACACACAAAATCAGAGATCACAGGTGAAACCACTAATTTTTTTTTTCATTTCTTCTGTGTGCGTAGACCTACTTGGGCACACACATACGTGAATACATATGTGGAGGCAGAGGACAGCCTTTGCTATTGTTCCTCAATTGCCATCTATCCTGCTTTTGATACACGGATCCTCATTATCCTGAAGTCTGTTAAGCTAGGCTGGCTGGCCACTACCTCTACCTCCTACCTCTGGGATCCCAGTACTAAAATGTATTGTGTATACATTGTTCTACCTATATGTCTGCCTGCAGGCCAGAAGAGGGCGCCAGACCCCATTACAGACGGTTGTGAGCCACCATGTGGGTGCTGGGAATCGAACTCAGGGCTTCTGGAAGAGCAGCCAGTGCTCTTAACCGCTGAGCCATCTCTCCAGCTCCCTAGCCCAGTTTTTTACTGTGAATTCTGTGAAATCTAATTCAGGTCCTCATGTCTGCAAGGCAAGCAACTTAACCGACTGAGCTATTATTACCCAGTGCCTTGGTTTTGAGACAGTCTCAGAATGTAGCTCTGGCTGGCCTAGAACTTATGCCAACCTGGCTGGCCTCCAACTTGTGGCAATCCTTCTGCCTCTACCTCTCAATTTCTGGAATTATATGCATGTGCCACCATATCCAGAAAACCTGTTGTAATACATTTAATAAACCCTGGTGCTGGAGTTACAGGCAGCTGTGAACTACTGGTGTGGGTGGTGGGAACTCAGGTCCTCTGAAAGGGTAAATACGTGCACTCTTAAGGATGGAGCCACCTCTCCAGCACAGTGACTCAGAACCCGAGGCCTGAGGCCTGAGGGAGACAGCCTAGGCTAGCTTCAACCTCTAACTCCAGGGGTTAGAGATACTTTGGGCAGCCTGCATTTCCCCTTTGTCTGGCAATGCTTCTCTGTGAGATAAGTGATTGGGTGAGGACAGAGGGTGTCATTGTTGGGACTTTTCTTGCTAGGAAGTAAAAACACAGGAAGAGAAGAAACAGCGTCCCGAGAAGACATCTCACCCACAGCAAGATTCAAAAGGGCCTCTTCCGCCACCAGCAAAGCCACAGCCTCCGCCTGCACAGCCACAGGAGCAGACAGAACCCCAGCCACCACCTGGACCAAAGCCACCAAAGGAGCAAGACCCTCCCACACAGAGCACTGCCAAGGACACTCTCCAGAAGGACGCCCAAAGACAAGAACCCCAGCCTAGACCAGCCGGGGCCCAACAAGATAGGCAGCAAGCCTGTATGCGTGGACCCCCAATCCTCCCAGGTCGTGGTGAGTGTGTTACCCGGTATCAGACCACCCCCCACCTGGGTAGTTCAGAAGTTCTATTGGCCCCCTGTCTGTCTGACCCTTCCTGGCACCCATAACCTTTTACAGCCCAAGTGGCCTCCTCCTCCTGGATAGTTTGAACCAACCTAGGGCAGCAAAGAGGCTTCTGGATAGGGACTGGGAAGGCACTGGTCTCTTTTGTAGGGTGTGACAGAGAAGGTGGTCATGGTCGAAGGGTAGGGTGTGAATTGTAGGTTATCAGCAGGTCAAACTGAGCCCTGTAAAGTGTGGAACAGGGGATCCCAGAATGAGGGGATTCTTCGGTGTAGGTTCAGTCTGTGCCTTGCCCCAAGAAAAGCCTGTTCCCACCCTCAGCTCCCTTTGCAACTGCCAGAAGACTGACTTGTGCTTTGTTTTATCAGGTCTCCCGAATGCATGCCAGGCTAGCTCTCCTAAATATTCCCGACTCACGGTGAGAGGCAAAGGGGCTCTGAGTGACTGTGTACGTCCTTGTGTGCCTGTGGAGGCCAAGGAGAATTTCTTAGCAGGGGTTCAAGGAGAGGACTGGAATCATTTCAAAGTTATTTCTGGGTTTTGCCTTGAAATTCTTTTTGTGGTACCGGGGATTGAACCCAGGGCCTTGTGCATGCTAGTCTCTGCCCCGTCTGTTCGTACTTCTGTCTACTCTACTCCACTTTCCTTTAAAATTCTTTTTACTTAGCCAGGCGGTGGTGGCGCATGCCTTTAATCCCAGCACTCGAGAGGCAGAGGCAGGCCAATCGATGGCCTCTGCCTCCAGAGAGCTAAAGGCCTGCACCGCAGCTGCCGCCCAGCCTCAGCAAGCTCTCTCACTGCTAGCTCTCTCTCCAGCCTCGAACTTTTATTTTGAGACAGGATCTTGTTAGGTTTCCCAGGCTTACTCTGAAGTCCCTCTCTACCCTAGGCAAGCCTTGAACTTGTGATCTTCCCACTTCAGCTTCCTAACTAGCTAAGATTACCGGCTTGAGCCACCAGGCCAGGCTGCCAACTAGTTAACTCCTAGTCAGAGTGTAAAATGGCGGGAGTGGGATCCAGGCACCGAGGGTGAGGCCTGCCCTGCGCAGGTCCTCGGCAGCTTTAGGCAGAGGAGCAAGTGCTCCGTTTTATCTCACTTTGTGTCCTCCGGCCTCAGAGGCTTAACGCGATCCTCGGAAAGCAGCACACTCAGAAAGGACTTAACTTGTTTTGTTTCCTGTCTCCCCCTCTTTCTTAGTCGACTAATTACATCCAGCAGTGGTGATCCAGAGACGGACTCCAGGACCTGACAGTACCGCAGAGCAAAAACAAAAGCAATCAAAAAACAATCAAAAAAACAAAAACAAAAACAAAAACAAAAAAACAAACCAACAAAAAACAAACAAACAAACAAAAAAATTAACAACAGAAACCAGACAGCAACCCACACTTTCTTTCCACCCTGCAACCTTTCTACTCCAAAAAGCCAACCACACTTGGAGAGGAGGCTAGCTGGGGATTAAAACGTGATTCCTGGAAAGAACCAAGGCTGGTCAGCTTAATGAGCACGGGATGGAGGGAGGAGAGCAGGAGGACCCATACTTGGAGGTAGAGGGGAGTAGAAGGCGAGTCCACGCTGTCTGAGGCCAAGTCAAGGGAAAACACGGTCTTCAGCCCCACCCTATGATTATTACCAGGGTCTCTTACCCAGTGATGGCAGATGTCTCGGCTTACTAATGCCCATCGCTTGAACCAAGCCCAGTGTGGGAAGGCCTTCTGTATATGTGTTGCTTTTATTGGCTAATGAATAAAGAAGCTGCTTTGGCCTATAGCAGGGCAGAATATAGTCAGGCTGGAAGAGATAGAGCGGAAAGAGTAGGCGGAGTCGGTGAGAAGCCATGTAGCCACCCAGGAGATAGACACCAGATGGAACCTTACCGGTAGGCCACAATCACATGATGATAGCACAGATTAATAGAAATGGGTTAATTTAAGGTGTAAGAGCTAGCCAGTAAGAAGCATGAGCTAATAGGCCACGCAGTGTTGTAATGACCGTTTCTGTATGATTATGTGGGGTCTGGGCGGCCGGGAAATGAACAAGCAGCCTCCTCCAACACAAGCCCATGCTAACTGTGATCCAGCCCGAGAAGCGAGGGGCTGCCATGCACTAGAGCTGCAATGGAGAGGGCAGAGAGGGATGCTCAAGCTGTAAACAGTTCTCGGGCATTCTAGGTACTGAGCTTTTTAGATGGGCATTACAGAGGGGTTGGGAGAATTCACAAGACAAGGGCACTGCAGCACCGGGTTCAGGACACGCGACCTTGGCAAGGCCTCCATCTTCCTGAGTGTCATGTCATACTTTCCACTTAGCCAGAGGGCCAGGGGACCCCCCCCCCAAATTCCAGGTCTCCCTTCTTTACGAGCTCAAGCCGGAAGAGGAGGCAGGATGGGGGCCCTTAATATCAGTCTCCAGGAAGACACACAAGTCCCATGAAATCCTTTCTGCTCCAGTTCTGACAAAGCCTCCCTCAGTCACCTCAGTCACAACTGGGGACCGATTAGTCATTTCTCATTAGTCCATGGGGCATCATCACCTTTGGGTCAGGAGCCCTGACGTACTGTAGTCTAGAGATCATCCCTGAGTGGGACAGCTGGGACAGTATGGGGACTGGCTCTGAGCAGAAACATTAAAGTCCAAAGACAGTTTAGGAATGCACATGGAAGGAAAGAGAAGCCTCTGGGATGACTCTCAGGAGCCAGAGGAGCGGAACGTGTTTCAACAGGTCTTGGAAGCCTACGTGACTATCAGAACACAAAAGTTTGAAGCCCGAAGAGGTAGCACTACTGGTAAAGCTCTCTTATCTTGCAAGTACAAAGGCCCGAGTTTAATCCTCAGAACCCATGGAAGAAAAGCTGGGCATGCTGGCATATGCTTGCAATCCCAGCGCTAGGAGACAGAGACAGGTAGATCCCTGGAATTTTTCTTTTCTTTTAAAGGACAGTGATTGGCAGCTGGGGGGTGGTGCACACCTTTAATTCCAGCACTCGGGAGGCAGAGGCAGGTGGGTCTCTGTGAGTTCAAGGCTAGCCTGGTCTACAGAGTGAATTCCAAGATAGCTAGGACGACACAGAGAAACCCTGTCTCAAAAAACAAAACAAAACAAAACAAAACAAAATGCCTGGCACAGTGGCACACACCTTTGATTCTTTAATTTCAGCCCTGGAGAGGTAGAGGGAGGCAGATCTCTGGGTTTGAGGCCATCCTTATTAGCATAGTGGGTTCTAGGACCTTCAGGGCTCTACAGTGGGACCCTGTCTCAAAACACATTTTAAAAAAGTATCTAAGGACACCCAAGGCTGTGCTCTGACCTTCACATGCACACACACAAATGGTCTGGGAGATGTGGGGTGTTCTGTCTTTGCTCAACACCGCTAAACAGAGTTTATTGAGAGAAATCTTTTACATTTGGTGGTTTACATACAACAACCTCAGTTTGACCGCCCCGGGTCTCTGCGTTTTGTTAGTATACCTTAACCCTGAGGGAAAGTTTGGTGACGATAGATTTCCTCTCCCTCCTGGTAGCCCAGGCTAGTCACATGGTTCCTTTTAACAGTATCTCAGCTCTCCCATCACACCAGCTGTCTGAAGGGCAAAGGCTAGCTCGCTTTAGCAGACAAACGTCCCTGCTCTCTTGCAATACAGACATCGCCTCTATCTGGAGTCCAGTGGGAAACCAGAAGTTACCTGGGGTTTGGCTCTAGTGCAGAGACAGGCAAGGAGAAAGATCTAGTTCAGTTCTGGTGAATCTGTCACTCTTCACAGTCAAGGCCCAGAGGATAGCAGAGGTCTTGGGAACAGAGGGTGGGCCTGCTGAAGCGCAGAGAAGCCATGGGACACCCATGGGAGCCCCACAGCTTTGCCCTGACATCAACAGCTTCATATCCTTCAGGCTTCCTGTGACTCTGCCTTCAGTCTAGGGTAGACCAGATGGCTTCTCCTCAGTACTTAGCTTCTGCTGTGAAGATAACATTAGAGCTATTCTATAGAGAAGACATTTAGACGGCGTGGTCTGCAGGCTGAGAGAGGCAGGCCATCAACATCACTGTCACACGACCAAAGCAGACAGCACAAGAGAACCTTTATAGCCACCTATAAAGACCTTGGGGACAGAACACCAAATGTCCTGAAAGCCACTTGTTATGGGAGGAGAACATGAAAAAGACCCATCTGTGCCGATAAAAATCCAGATAAGACTACAGCTTTCTCAGTTCCAACAGAAGACCCACCCTGGTAGAGCCGGGCAACCATGGTGTTCAGCCACAAGACAATGCCAGGTCAGACGTTTCTTAACGCAGATCCCAGGGAAGATCTATCAGAAGTCAATCCTAGACACCTGAGGAGCCAGCGCCCGGGGCGTTGATAAAGAGCTCCTTGTGCTGAGAGTGTCAGGGGGAAGGCACAATAAAGCTGGACATTTCTGTTCCTTCAGCAAAGTCACTCGTCCTTCCATGAGCTCCATGGAGTTGAGGTGCAGACCAGGCCGCAGGTGCCTGCGCTACAGGGCCAGCGGAGAGGTTAAGCTGGGTGTGGGATCTCCAGGAGGGGCATTGACGTGTTCTCCTGGCAGTCCACATATTCATAGCTCTCGAAGGGCAGCTGCTGCTGATGGCTCAGGTAGGAACAGGACAGAGTACCCCTAGAGAGGAAGCAGGCCTTGTTGCAAAGTCTGGGAGGGAAGGGAAGGCTTCGGCCTGGCTTTATGGTGTGTGTGAGGCTGCCTCCCAAGGTCCTCCCTCCTACTTTCTTCCACTCCCTGCTCTGCCAGGACGCTGGGCAGCTGCCACACCTGGGTTCTGGAAGCTCCAGACAGCTCTCATAAGAAAGGTCACGTGTGGAACAGGCTCTAGACTTGCTATTCTCTGGACTTAACCAAGACAAATGACGTGTGAGCTACCGTGACTTGTTCTCTCCCTCATGAAATGCAACTGAGGTGTGACTGAAGGGGGCGTGGGGACACAAGGGTTCCGTGCCATACTTACTGGATATGCAAAAGAATATGATGGACTTTTACTTTCAGCTGCGCACAAATTTTGCTGAGAGAAAGAGAGAACAATGAGCCTTGTTTTACAAATGGTCAGGAAACCCAAAGAGGAGGCTTACTAGTCACAACGCATCCAGTTCGCTTGCCTACCATCAGGGGCCTCCGAGATGCCTCTCTCGAGATGCCTTATCCTGTAAGATGCACCTGACCACCTGGCCAACCACATTCTTGGTCCAGGCACATGCTGGCCTCTCCCTCAGCAGAAAACTAGATAACATTCTTCCACAGAGATTCACAGAGTCCAACTCATATAAAGATTAACAAAATTCTACCTGATGCTCTAATCTAGGTTCAACAGGAAGAGGCTTTGGACTTTTCCCTTGGCATACTGCAGTCCGAGCCACAGGGGGACAGGCCAAATGCAGGCTCCTGAGTCTGAAGCAATTAGGAAACCAAGTGGATTTGTTGTTGTTGTTGTTGTTGTTTTGTTTGTTTTTCAAGACAGGGTCTCTCTGTGTAGTCTTGGCCATCCCAGAACGCGCGCTGAGGACCAGGCAGGCCTTGAACTCACAGAGATCTGCCTACCTCTGTCTCCCGAGTGCTGGCATTAAAGGTATGTGGCACAATCACATCGTTCCAAATACACACACACATACACACACACATAATGACTTATTTATTTATTTAATGTACACTGGTGTTTTGCCTATCTATAGTCTGTGTGAGGTGTCGGATCCCCTAAAACTGGAATTACAGACAGTTGTGAGCTGCCATGCGGGTACTGGGAATTGAACACAGGTCCTATGGAAGCGCAGCCAGTGCTCTTAACTGCTGAGCCATCTCTTCAGCCCCTCTGCCAAGTAGATATTTTTAAAATATGGGTGTGGTTGGCACAAGCCTTTAGTCCCAGCACTCAAGAGACAGAGGCAGGGAAATCTTGAGTTTGAGGCCAGCCTGTGTCTACAGAGTGAGTACCAGGACAAACCAGGGCTACACAGAGAAACCCTGTCTTGATAAACAAAAACAAATAAAAAAAAAAGCCATTTAGTGTGTGCATTTGTGTGTGTGTTCAGGTACACTCAAGTTGCGGCATATGTGCGGATGTCAAATTTGTGGGAGTGGGCTCTCTTTCTGCCATATAAGACGGGAAGATCAAACTCAGGCCATGGTGGCAAATGTCTTTACCTCACCAGCCCCTCAGTGAATAGTAACTGGATTGTAAGCCAAGGAAGAGGGTAGGAGAGAAGAGAGCGAAGAGTACTTACTATGTGTTTGCATCCGAAATCCTGTTGGCAACTTCGTAATGCATCTGTCAACCAAAGGGGCATGAGATTAGCTGCCCCCAGGCTGCCCCCTTTCCACAAGCACGTACATCCACACCGTGGGCAGAGCTGGTCGGGAAGAGGGACCTTACCTGTCCGGTGGC